CTAAAAAATTTCATTTCTTGAGCAGTATCTATGTCATATGTAAATTTTTTTTTAAAAATATTTTTCTTTAACTGTTAGGGCCATTTGTCTCGCTGATTCACTCTACTGCAATTTCCTATTTTAAAAATTAATGTCAGAGTTCCACTTTTTGGTTCTTGGGCACTGCCTTTTATTACACTGAAGTCAATATTAGTGGCTCAATTATTGCTAGCTATTGAGTTAGTTCTTGCCTGTTACTTAACACTAAGTCAAGCATATCTTTCTGTGTACTTTAGTACTAGCTGTTCCAAGAAGCAGAAATTGCTTCTTTGAACTTACTCTTATTGTGCTATCTGACCACTTTATTCACAGGTAATTTAAGTCCCCATTATCATTTGGTTAGACTTTCCCACTTCTTTGATCTTTGTCAACATTAGGCACTCAACATCCTTTTGTTGATCCAGGAGCTAGTAGTATATAAGACTACTAATATATTTACTTTCTTATGGGTTGGGACTGTAACCCTCTACAAGCAATTAAGCAGGTGATTACAATTCTCCAACAGCACTGGGCATTGCAACATGGGCAGCACTCTCCATTTCGAGGATGTGCAATATGTGATGATCACGCTGGATTCGCCACACCAGCGCGCAACTTGCTTCAATGGCTGGTTGTTATTGCTGTTAAAAGCATATGTCATGCTTCTTTTTTGACTTTATCTAGACTTCTTTTTCAGCTCTTGAATTGTATTCAACACCTAAAATAGGAATTAGGGTCCTCCTCGGACTCTATTATACCCCACCCTAATCAGAAGGTTCATGCTAAAACTAATATTTTTAAAATACTTTATTGGATGGGGGAAAGGTTTTTTTTTTTGTGCTTTCTGGTTTCTGAGCCTTTAGGGAGTTTGTTCTGTGTTGGCAAGTTTTTCCTGCAGTCACAAACTAAAACAATGTGCTCCATGGCTTAATGAAAGTTGACTTTCTCATACAATCACCCAATTATATAACTGCTTAAGATTATAAGGAAACAAACAAAAACTACTGTGAGACTTGCAATAAAATAATGCGTGTGGGATAACTGATTAAATGCTTTGGTCTATTAACCAAGTTTACTGTTTTGCCTTCTGAAGCTTTTTTCTCCAGGTACGTTATGTAAAGTGACTGATCACTGCTTCGCTTTCTCTATAATAAATTTAGTTTGAATTTATACTTGTCTCTTTAAATCTCTTTGTTTGGGACTTTTTCAGATGTTATTCCTAAAACACTGGCACAGCTCTATACAGAACACTCCGATAAGCACCCCACTCACGTCATACCTGTTAACAGGACCATCCTTTCCCCTGTATGCAACACTAGAGTCACATACACTCAAATAAAATAAATTTTTTAAAAAGCTAAAGCTTAATCTTAATTATGGATACTTTACTAATGAGCCTTTAAGGGATGGCCTATTTCTCCAATAAAAAGTTTTTTATTTCATAATCTTAGATTTGCACATGAATCCTATTGTTATCCAATCTGAATTGGACAAACTCTTGAGCTCTTCTCAAGACTCTGAAGCAGCTCTATCCTTTTCCTTTTGAGACTATCTGTATTCTACTGTCTTCAGCTAACACAGTGAAATCTCTGCAATATCAAATGGAGCCTGAAGCATGGACAAGGAGGAAAGAAAGAGGACTTATTCATAAAAAAAAAAGCTAACAGAGCAGAAATAACAAATACAGAGGTCCCAGAAATTGCAGTGGCAATCATATCCAAGGGAGCGGACCTGGCACACAGCTATAGGAACTGCAATTTGGAGAGCATGCAGAATCCTCAGTTGCTAGTGGATCTGCAGTTAGCAGCAAGATACAAAGTAGACCTTGCCCAAAAGGTCTGGTTCTTCCATGTTTAACAGCCGGCCTCTTTCTGCCTTCCGTGGACTTTCTCCACCTGAAGTGCAGGCCACGGCAGGAAGCTCAACAGAGATCTGAGCTTCTAACCATTTGGAAACTGCAAACTAGCACATAATGCTACTTCTGATTTATTGAGCAATAATTAATGCTTAGAGCATGTAACATCTGTGCACTGAACAGGCTCCAGGACGATTTCTGTGAGAAGTCTAAGGTGTTGGTTTTTTGACCTATAAAGCTTTAAGCGGCGCTGCCTGCTTGGGAAATTCCTCTCCCTTTGCATCACCGCAGAGCAGCGCTGATCCCGCTCCCGGCCTGGAGCGGCCCAGCCGCGCGGGGCCCGGCCGGACAGCCTGCAAAAACTGAAACCCAACATTTCCCAAAAGAACTGCTCGCCGAGACAGCCCTGGGAGAAGGGATCTGATGTTCAAATTATCTTGGAGGTAAGATTTTTTTAAGTTAGTTTCCTCAAATTTAATACTCATGATCAAAGTTGTTTGCTGTAGAGGATCCTAAAGAACATGATAGGAAGAAAATGAAAACAAGAAAGCATTCTGGTAGACATATCTTTGGTGAGTATCTACTTTATGCCAAATTTTCTTGGATAAAATTAAGAGCCTATTTTTAAAGATATATTGACCAAAATAATATAAACATAATTATAATTCAAAGAGATTTTTACTTGAATACAGGACTAGTTCCGCAGCCCTCATATTTAAGCAATGCAGTTAAAACCCTGAATTAACACAGCATTATTCTGAGAAAAGGAGTGAATTGTGCATTCTTTTTTTTCTGAGATAACTTATGCACTTTATGTTCTCATGTGATGTCACGATGGCTGACTGTGCCTTACTCATTCTGACATATCCCAGTAGAAGAAGCCAAAAATGGTGCAAGAGCTAGTCCTCTCTTCCTAACCCAGGAATTGCAAAAACTAATCATGTTAGGTACCTAAATTACAGATAAAGAACCAATTATGAAGGTACCTGTGAACACTTTATTTAAGTAAGAATTCCAGTGAAATCAAAGGTAAAGCCTACCACCTCGGGATTCTGCAAAATGGAGATGTTGGCAACTACATTTGAAGCAGGACGTTCCAATAAAGGACAATTTATGTGAATTTAATATCTTACTGTTTAGAAGTGAACTACAAATGCGCTCTCCTATTAGTTTCTTACTTATTTTGTCCCTTAACAGTTATGGTGGTAGATCAGTGTGCATCTCAAGACTCACTTTTCCAAAGGCAGGAATAAACTGTAGGATCAAGCCCCAGATATTTTTTAAATAGCATTATGAGCTCTAATACACAACGGCACAATTAGCAACTGCACCATAACACGCACAGAGAGGTCCCAGGCAAAGCTACAAACGGCCTCTCCCAACACCGTGCCAGGCACCATGGAAACACCCTGCTGCAGGAGCCCAGATACCCCGTGTCCTGATGTGAGACTCCGATCCTAAAACCAGATCCAAACGGGTGAGCGCTTTAAAACAAGACTCAGTCTGTGGGAAAAAGAATAGGAATGACCACCTGAGCAAACTAGTTGTGGGATCAGAGCCTAAGAAAGAGATACACGGTACAGTTCAGTATCTGTTTACATAAATTACACAGATAAGATTAGTGTTTCCCCAACCTTCTTCTTTGGAGGATGATTTTTAAAGAAGGAAACTCATTTGTAAATCCAACCCTATTCACGGTGTAGTATTCAAAACACCTAGTTTGTCTGGGCTTCCAAGGTGACTTCACACACTACCAAAGCCACATCTGGAACCGCTGCTGCGAGCGGCGCACGACAGGGGTTATCTTCTTGTTCCGAAAAGGTCTATCCTCTAGACTCTGCGCTCATTGCAACACCGCTCCAGCTTTTGGTATGGAATCAATATTGACTTTCCTGGACATTGCCTCATGACAGAACAGGACCTTGAGTACATTTGTCTAAGATATTTTTTTATCCTGGTAATATAATTTTATAACAGGGCTTTCATTCTGAATAGTTCTAAAGGCTTCACAGGCAGCTTTAACAGCCTCGGCAGGCTCTCCATGTGCTCTGCAGCCAGGTGATCGGGCTGGAAGGCCAGCTTCTTTTCTTCCAAAACCATAAAATATTTATTATTTTAAATTCACAAACTACCGATTTGATTAAGATTGCAAAACAGCTCATTTAAAAAGGCAAAACAGGCAAGAGCCATGCAAAAGTTAATATTTAATATTCATGCAGGATATTTTATCTATCCAGATGAATTTTGCTGTATTTACCTCTCCAGAATATAACACGTGACACCAACAAATGGCGACCAGAGACAGCCCATGAAGGTACCAGCGTATTGTGCTGCCTCAAGAAGCAGAGCTTAAAAAACAGCACGCAGAAGAGGAGGCTCCTGCTGACGAGCGGAGCCGTCTCCCGCGGCACCTGCATCTTTTGGCAAGATGTTCACATGCTCTCCACTCTCAGTAAACATCAGAAAGCAGCACTAATTTCATTTACAAAAATATACAGTGATGACACCACAGGAAGCATCGTGGTGAGAACGATTTCCAGGAACAGCCAATACGCGAGGACAAAACTGGCAGCAGCAACAAATCTGGTGGGCAGAACGTGGACGTGCATCGTAACTGGAGCGGAGCCCTCTCCAGCAGGAGAGGTGTAAAGGAAACCTTAAGGATTTCATACAAAATGTTGCTCCTTTTGGACAGATCTTTCCTGTGTCCCCAAATGTGACTCAATGCACTCTGCTTTATAACACCAATTAAGCTATGCAATAACCTTCTTGGGATCAGCTGACTATATCCAAAATTCAACACTATTACAAGCACAATCGCAGACCATGACAGCACGAAGAATCAACCACTAATACATATATATATATGCATGCCTAAATATGTACATGGAAGATATATAGGCACTTCTCCCTTAGAACAGTATGTGAGCTTCAAGAGCAGTAACACAAAGGAGCAAAGCAAACAGGTGGACAGCTCACACCAAAAAAATAACTTGTTTCTTAGGTTATAAATCTGTAATCGGGAAATAAAACCATATCCATTCCACTAGCTGCTGAGTAGTACGGAAAGCAGGAAGAGGAGGACTGAGAAGACCCACAGAAATGGATAGAGCAGAGGGGCTCTTACCTGCAGCAGTTTGCCTTCCGCTGGAGTAACCTCAGCAACGTTTGCAAACTCTCCCTCCAGGGTGATGGGCTCCACTTGCAAGGGGGTCACCCGGATGATGGCTTTCTGCGCTGCTGCTCGCTCCGATTCCATGGCGGCCGCCAGCACCAGCCGTGTGTGGCCGAGTCCGACCTGCAGCGTAGCCATGAGCAGCCAAGGCCAGAGGAGAGCCAGCTGCCGCGGGGGGCCAGCACTCATGCTACCAGCTGCAGCAGCGCGCGCCCCGGCCACACATACCGCTCGGGCCCGCGTCCTCACCCCGCCGGCGCGCTCCAACGGCACCAGAGCTCCTGCGGGCTCAGGGCGTGCGACTGCCCTCGCTGGGCGCAGGAGAAAGAGAGAGGGGCTCGGGTACCTCCAGCTTTCTCCTGCCCACGCCGCTTAGGGAATTTCTTCCCTACTTCTCGCCACCACGGTTTCTCTTCCGCGGTGCCACGTGCTCAAAGGTCCCTGGAAGCTCAGAAACATATTTAAACCCAAAGTAATCAAAAACAAACAAACAAAAAAAGCCCCAAATCCTAAATTAAGTGTCCTTTCTCCTCCAACAACTAAAGGCAGAGATCGGTGATAGAGAATGGGCAGATCACGAGCAAGAAATTAGTTCAGACACACAGGAACACCGTGCAGCAGTAAAAACTCTTCAGTCCTGCAGAGAGGAGGAACACGGAGATTTCCCCATGGGAGTGATGACCTTGCCTCTCCAGTCCAAGGTTTAGGAAGATCAACAGGTTCAAAATATCCATCTCAAATGTCCCTAAAAGATGATTTACCTTCTTGCCAGCAAGTCATCTTTTCCCCAGTGTAAGCTCATGCTCTTCATTTTTAATGTTACCTGCAGTCATCCGGATCCTTCTTGAAAAGTACACAGGAGGTATTTCTTGAATTTATATTTATAGAAAAAGCACACTATGGTGTGATTCTCCTCCAGGTCTTCCCGAATCCTTCCATCCTTGTTCTGCCAGAAATGCTTCACTTACGTTTGGAGATCGATTTTCGTTTTCTCCATGTTAATCTGTTTTCAGATGCAGTTCTCAAAGACCATTAGTTGAACAAGCAGCTTCTCTTCATAATTTTAAGTTCCCAGGAAATAAAAAGGTTTTAGAAGTTTAAGGGCAGAAACCAAGCAAAAAATTGCAACGCATCTTGTTCCTCTCACACTATTTCTTCAGGCACTTGAGTTCCAACATTAGCTCTTCCAAACACATATTAATAAGATCCTAAATAGAGGCCCCACAAAATAAAATATAAAGTTCCATGGTGCACGCAAAGCTCACATGAAATGTATGGAGGAGTCTTCATAACTGGGCCAGTAGATACTGAGGGAATGGGCAACCAAAGCGAATGTTGCACTGGCCACTCCGCTGTGAAGAGAAAAAGTGATTTGGAGGAGGAAAAAAAAAAAAAAAAGGCAGCAGATCCGCAAACCTGTTTCACAGAGCGCCCGCTGGGCTCCACAGGAGCTGAGACAGATGGAAATATTCGTATAAATCCTGCACAGAAGCTATTTCCAATCGCTTAGGAGAACTGTGCAGGTCTGCTAAGGCTGGTCTTCGAGCAGCAGCAAGGAGCAGCCCTGCCTCGCGTCCCCGCGGCAGCAGGCAGGTAGGCGCGAGCGCAGCCCCACAGCGCACGGAGACTCCAGCGAGATCAAAGGGAGAAAATTACAGCAGACAGAGAGCTCCCGGGGCAGGCATGGCTGAACGCAAAGTGTCCGCATGGAAGCTTAGAGACTTGAGAAAGCAGCCCAAAACATTTCTGGGGAAGAAAAAAAAAAAATAATAATCCCTTTAAAACGCCAACGTCTCTCCCCTCGTTACGGCGCGTGCAATTATCGGCTCTGCGTGGAGCAAGCGCCCCAGAAGAGAAATGGAAACATCAGCCCCGAGCCAGCAGTGAAGCCAGGCGGGCCGTTTTATTATCGAGCAGGCAGAGAAATCCCACAGGAACGGGGTGCAGAGCAGCCAGGAAGAGGGGTCTTGCTCAAGTTGTAGGAAAGCTTTTTCGTGCCGAAAAATAGGAGCAGGCGCTTCTGGATAAATCCCAGGCTGCGGTTTGTCGTCGCTGCGTTCCCAGCTCTTTGCCTCCCTCCCCTGGGACTGCGGGGCTCTCTACCTGCTGACACAAAGTGAGGGTGGAGCAGCTGGAGGCAACACCCCCGGCCGCGGCTGCGAGCTCCGGGACTCCCTCTCCTGCTCCCCTGCCTTACTGCATTCCCCGGCGCGGGCCCTGCTCGCTCGGCCTTCCCGAGCGCGCGCATGGAAATCAGCGCCGCTCGCCGCCCCGCCGAAGCTGCGCCCAAAAAGATTAGAATGAAAAAATAAATGAATAAGCCGGCAGAAAGCGCCAAGGCGGCTCGAGCAAGGAAGGACGGGGGCCGTTTGTCACCGCCAGCTCCAGCTCCGCACCCAACCGTCCTGGGGGCGCTCCGAATGGCACCGAGCCAGGATCTAAAGCAACTTCCCGCACTAGAATGTACTGATTTATTGCAGCCTTATGTCTTGGGCCCTGGGAAGGGCTCCGTCCATTTCACGCGCGGCCTTTCTTCGGCTCTCGCTAATTTAGATTCAGGAGCCCCTTTTCTAGTTGCTACTGCGAGAAGGTTTCAGGTCAGGCTGATGTCAGAGGTCTGGAATTCAACTGTTATTCTCCTCTGACATCACTGAGAGGTGAATAATACTATAGGTCAGACCTATAACCTCAAAGTAAGGTTGCAACTGGAAATGTGTAAATCGGCGTGTGATGGAGTGGTGCTCGAGGAGGATACTCAGAAATTAATGCAGAAACAATGAGGAGGATGCAGAAAGCCCACGACGGAGCCCGGGCTGCGGAGGGTCAGGCCCTGTCACCCGCGGTGCGCACGAGAAAGCGCGCTCAGGAAAGTGAAGAGATTAGTGGCTTTTTTAGTTACCCGTCGAGCCAAACTAATCCCTGGAGGAACTCCACAGAAATTAGGAAGTTACATAAAATGAAAAATTGGTCCACTGATTTTTAACTTGTCTATGTAATAATGATTATTTTTTGATAAAAGCGTGAGCAGCAATCGCTGAAGTGCAAAATACTTATTTTCCACTATGATCATCTGTCATTTTGTAATTTAACACTCACAGATTAAATATAAATGCAATGTCTATTTAAGTTTAAAAGTTTCATTTATTGCAGATTGCTGCAATCATGTTGCCTAAGCAGGGATGTAAAGGAACAGCTTCGAGGTAAACCAAATTCCCTTTTTTTCTCATGAACAAGAAAACAGTTAAAGACATGTCTTGTTACAGAAGTCACTATTTATTATTTACTGACTGAGCTACATTCACATTAAGGTGCTAAAATGCTGAGACATTCAATCGAGAGGGTTACCTGAGACTCGTGAGGCCTCGCGCAGTTTTATGCTACTCTCCTAAAAGTAGCGAGTGCCCTTTCTCCTTTGCTCTCTTGAGGTTATGTCAGAGAGAGTTGGTTAAGGACAAAGACAGCTTATGTGCGTGTGTACTCTGCACGCGATGCATGGCAGGAGATCCAGCTCCACGGCTGTTTTAAAAACAGCATATTAAAAATTCTAATATTAGAATTTCATAATTTGTCTTTACAAGGATACCGCGTTATCTAAGACATTAAGACTCCCCTACCATAAATCCCCAAAAGCATCAAATCTTTTTGTGGAAATCAGGAACAAGAAAGGCAAGCTAAGAAGTTCCCTTTGTATTTTATTTGAATTAAAGAGGTAGCAACTTCAGCTTGACAAGGCTGAATTCTTGTGGTCTCCAACTCCTTCCACCTTGAGTCTAGGAAGTCTAGCCTGATGCCCTCAAATCTTCCTTTTAATGGCACAGACTACCACAGCACACAGACCTGCACTATTCCCACAGCACATTACGCAGCCAGGAAGCACAAAACCAAGCTCAGATAGTAAAGCTGCGTCTATATTATCCAACACCTTTTAACTACCAGAATATTCTCCTTCATTTAGAGATGGTGTCCTTATATTTTCACTTGAGAAGGAGGACTTGAATATTAAACACCTAGCCTTTCATTACTAAAGCCAATAGATGTGTACCACATGTATGTTATAAATAATACAGAATGACAAATCTGAGGACAACCAGTCTAGTAATGCTCCCACTAGTCATGACCTACAAGTATTGCCATATTGCATTGGACTAGTTTGGAGTGCCAGTGAGTATTTGAAGGTTTCATCTCAGTTCATCCTGTTCACTTAGCACATCCTGAACATACCTGGAAACTTCAGACGCTTCCAGATGGTAAAACTGAGGCAGTCTGGATAAATTCTGTTTCTTTCGTGTGCAGTTTGCTTATTTACACCTCTAGCTCATTATAAAATAAGTATGAACAGGCATGAAGCAATGAAATTTATGTTTTAAGTGCTTTTTCCCATATATTACTCTAACCCAACATAAATACTCCCTGTGCATCCTTTATACTTTAAACAATATTTCAACATAAATACAAGACTTAGCTATTAAAAACCTTAGATCTACTGTCAATATAAATATAATAGTATTTAATAACTTAAAAATATATTGTGAAGACCTATTTAAAATAAAGTACCAAAACAGCAGATAACCTATCATTACAGATATCATTAGAATCAAAACGAAATTATTAAAACAGGAGAATTCTCCATTAGTGTAAGTGATCAGCAGCTTTTATAGGTAAGGGATACCCACCAGAAAGGAGACATTTGCTGCTGAAAGAGCACATTGCATTTAGGAAGGAAGAGCATTTCCTGGTTAATCACTTAGAAAATTAGCTCATCTTTCCTATAGCTGCTCTCCTGAAGTCTCTGACCCATTCAGACCTAGAATCTTGTGACTTCCCTATGCTTTTGTTTCACACACAATTTCCATTAAAAGGCCACAGTATGACTTCAGGCAGAGACAGTGAGAGCCTCAAGCAGCATCTATGCTGAATATACTGTAGCCTCCAACGATGTTAAATAAAAAGATTCCAAATACAGCACTAAAAACAACCTGCTTAAGGATGTTTTGAGGACGCTTTTAAGGCCTCTTGCTTTCAGAAAGCTCAGACTTCCTATTTCTGGAGAATATGAGCAGCTAAGTTATTACTTTATATTAAATACTGGGATCACTAGATGGTTTATTACTTGACAGGTGGAAATTGTAATGAAGAGGTGTAAATAATGGAATGACTAATTCCCCTCAAACCCAAAATGAAAGTTTAAAAAAAAAATTAAAAAAGAGAGCTTTTTTAAAAACACAACTGAAATGATCCAAAGTGCCTGTCTGTGCAAAGCGCTGCCTCTGGAGTCCAACAAGAGAGCCCAGCTGGCAGCTGCTGCACATTTTCACATACTTGTCACCCACTTCTCACTCTCTTATTTCTTCCTTTGGAAAGTGCTCCTGCTTGCAAGCTACATCGACCAGCAGATGGAGATCTAGGAAGAAAAGAGAACACTGAGTCAATATTAGTCTTTGCATACATCTCACTTAGCAGCATACACAGGAATTGTATTTCTATTGGTTAAAGTAAGATCCAGCCTAGAAGGCAATTATAATTTCACAGTTTGCAACCTATTTACCCTATTTAAAGAATAAGTTTTACTCTAATTTTGCCTAACTTTAAACATAAAAGATCTTAAAAGAGAAGTTACTTGTGTGAACCCATTCTTCAAGATATGTTATTTATTTCCACATTCACTACAGCAGGTATCGACAGCCAAACATCAATTACCGTAAAAACTCTGAGGTCAGCAGTACCCTCAGAAGTACACATTTTATTTTGTGTGCACTTTCATTGATCCATAAAAGAGACAATTGCCTCCAAGTTTGCAGCAACCAGGACCAAGACACTCGAGAAGACTCGTGGTGTCGCAGAGAAGCCAAGCAAGAGACTCTTTTGCTGAAAATAACCTTGACTCTGGCAAAAAGAAGATACTTCCAACATAACATGGCCAGATCAAAGTGTGAAGGTATCCTGGAGGTCAAGAATGTGAACAAGTCACCTTGTAAAGTGACAACACTACCAGTGTGAGAACACAATCCATCTGAGTGTTAATATCTAACCAGAATCATAGGAGATGCTGAAAAGCCCAGGACCAAGATGTGTCCTCCTTGTAAGCCATCACTGAGACCTGCTAGAGACACTAGATGAGCACTGACATTATTCCCATCTGGAAAGTGCAGGAAATACTTTAAATGGACACTATGGTAGCATGGGATTCCTTACCTGAATGAAGATGTACCCTCAACAAATGCACTTAAAAATGTATTCACCTAGGGAATGGGCAATAAGTATTTAGTGTAACTTGCAATGTGACAAAGAAAAAGAACTAATCTGAACCAGTAGCATCGCAAAATCTGTCTGCATTCCTGTTGCAAACAGAAGACTGAGAGATTATTTGAAGAAAAAAGTCCAGATTATTCACAAAAAATATATATATGGACAGGCATTCAGGAAGACATTTTTTTCCTTAATGGATCAGCATGCTGAAAATCCAGAAGTAAAATATTCTATTTGTTCCATTCCAAGACCGCAACTTCCAGAAATAAGAGGTGCAAACAATGCTCTCTAATCAGAACGTTGTCTGTCTTATCTGCTCTTTTTGTTGATGAAACACAAACTCAGACTCTACTTCAGCTCAGCTACAGTCGCTGTCTCAGGGTGCTACAGAGAATGATGCAGAGGAGCTAGAGGGCAAGAAGAAGAATTCTTCACACCTGAAGAATTAGTCATTTGTGAAGTCTAAAAGGGCTCCTGTTGCAGGTGTGCATGGTGCCAACATTAGCAGACAGATCTGAACCTGAATTCTGAAAATCCCATTTACCAGTACGTAGTAGAGAAAGAAGTACTTCTTGGCATCTTCAGATCTATGTCCTAAGAAATACTCTGGGCTTGAAATAAAGCAAACTCTGGAAGGTATTATCGATTCCTCATACCTCAGTGTGATAATCAGTACAAGAATTAGACAGCCATTTCCAACATCTCTTAACAAAAAGATGGGAACAGATGACAGACTATACTCTTAGAATGACACATCCTAGTGCTTCATTTAGTGCTGAATTAAGTTCTGGGTCCTCTGTTGCATCTCTGACTCTCTAAAGAAGGACTAGCAAGTATTTCCCACTGCTGACAAAGGAAAGGGAGCCTGTCTGCCAAACTGTAAGGCCCACAGAATTAGTGCATGAGGAGTGAAGATCTGGTTAAAGTAGACACATTCAAAAAGGTGATCCAGCACAGACAGGAAAGCTCTGCTGCAGCAGCAGCAGAATGTGAGCAGGTCATACACTTCACTCATACTGGCTACTGCAGATAACTTTTCAGGTCATTTTCGTTTTCAGGTTTGATATTCTGTTCCAAAGAGAAGCCACTTCTGACACGTTCACTTCTTCCGTATCTTCAAGTTGCATTTAGATACAGCTCAAAAATCTTTTCTGAAATGCATCTTTGAAGAGGAAATGGGTGGCTATAGGTGAGATTGGGATGGCATATCATTCACCACTGAATTCGGGGTCCATGGACCTTCAGTAATTCTTCTTTACTTTTTTGCGAAGCAGGACGGATAAAATGAAGGAATATTACTTAACTTCACACCAGAACTGTTGTCTTAGAAGAACTGGTAAAATACTGAGTGGTATCGGAAGAATAAGAACATTTTGAGGCTATAAAGTACCTCAGGCCCTTCCAAAGGAAAGTCTCAGATAACTGTATGACCTCTCAGAGAGGCTTATGATCATGAAGCTAATGATTTGTAACCAAGCCAAATGACCCACAGCCACTGCAGACGATGTGGTCTTTGAAATTTTATTTATGGGACTACTCAGCTTTTGAGTAGAAAAGATTCCAAGGTATCTCAAGTCAGGCATCTAAAATAAATAGCACCTTCTCAAAGGATGTTATTTTATATTTGCTCTGACACACTAAATGCAAGGAAAACCAAATCACAAACAAACAAATTTCTAAAGTTTGCTCAAGAAAAAGCCATGAATTTGACAGACTAAATTTAAATAATGCAACAACAACAAGAGAGAGGAAAAATGAATCTGGAAGTATTATTTCCCCTATAACTGCTCCAGCAAACAGTACAGCAAAAGTAGATATTTTAAAAAAGAATTATTTACTGTAATCACAGCCTTACCAACACAGCTGGACCAGCAGGGAATACCTTTTTTGTATGTGTATTGAAATGTAGATTAAAGCTTAAGGCTGCATTTGACATTATGGACTTTAAGGCATCTACCTTTACTGACTGTGTTGGGGAACTTGGTGTAAAGAGGCTCCTTCGCTAGCAAACAGGGAGAAAAACATCTCCAAAAGGGACTTCAGAGCAGGAACTGAATGACCCTCACTCACAACTGATTAACAAGGGAGCTGAAAAAAAGACTAGGCTATTTAGCAAGCCAGCTAATTTTACACTAAATATGAGAAAAACAACACTGTTACTGACATTCTACTACTACTAAAAAACACACATCAAATCATGACGTTCCAAACATGCCTTAAGAAAAAAAAAACAAAAAACAAAAAGACTCGAGTCTGAACAGAAATAAAACTTGAAAAATGGGATTAAACAAGACATTTGCTTTTCTAGAAAGAACCAAAACCCATCATCAGTTTCAAAACAAAGAGTGTTCTTCAATCACTGTATGCTAATCACCTATGCTAATTACATGGATTCCCATAGAATATTATGCATGCTAAAAGCCTATATGGCTTCCCTAAATTCATGGAAGACAAATCTATCGCAATCTATCTAGGAAAAAGATGAAGAAGACACTGGTGGAGACTGGAATCCAGGGGTAGAGAGACCTCTCGTGATCCTGTTCAGCACGATGCTCTTAAACAGGTAAACTGTTAGCTCAGAAAGCTGGTTAAGGATGAACCTTCTGCTTTGAAGGAGGCAATTTCATTGATTTATGATGATGCAGAGCTAGGCTGGCAGATGGGATGAAATCCCAGGGATTACATTTTTGTGGGGCAACAGATGTCTCCTTTGCCACAGGATGGTTGCTAAAGGTAAAGAAATCTAGTCCGGTTCTTCAGAGGAAACTAATGCTTTCTCCAGAGTGAATGTTGGGACTCCTGCCTCATTGTACAGAGTTATGGCCTTGTTTCTGCCCTAGATTTGCCTCCAGTCATTTTTACTTCCATTTCATTGCAATGGCCACATTACGTTGGCTCTTGCCATTTGTTAGCTAAAACTTCCTGATGGTGTAACAAGAAAGTGAGTGATGCCAGAGGCCTGCTGGAACACATGGAACAGAAGTCTTTTCCCTAGCAGGTTATACATCAAAGCACAGGCTTGGAAGCTTGCAAGTGGGTGCCCAAAGAGAAAAACAGCAGAGGCAATCACGTTTAGAGGATGACATTTGAAGAAACAACTGAAAATTGTCATCATGCACCTTTCTAGCTCAGACAGATTAAGGAAGAAGTTGTTTCTAAAGCTTCACAGAGGAAAGGAGGCATGGACAGACAGGCACAGCCAGAACAACGAGGCTTGGCTTATATTGAACTTCACGGCCTGCATCATAAGGCAAATATATTTTGAGCCAGCCGGAGCTTGACCATATTTAGCTCGGGTGTCTCTAAACTTTATACGTACCCTAGCCTTGAGAGGCGTGATGGTAGAAAGGCAGTCTTGGATGACTATCCCATTCCCCTCAAAAATGACTTTATGCTAATCATTGCTAACACACAGCAGTACTTCATTGTGGAACAAGTCCATGGCAATGCTTTCCAAAACGCGGCCACATATTTTGCAAGTGTTTTGCTGTA